TTGTTAGGGCACTTGACCTCTTCAACGACAGGGACAACATTGACAGGTGCTCACCAGAACAGGTTAAATATTTTGGGTTGTTGTCTGAAATCTACAGAGTGACAGACATGATCAATTCCACTGTCTCCAAGATACACACCTGAAAGTTATCTGGGACTGCCCCCCTTTCTGAGGTAATCATGATCAATATGCTAGAACACAGCTTGTCAGGACTTTTGGAAGCCATCACTGGTGGAGCCTATCACCATCTTCTCCATCAACAGATTGGTGAGTTCCTTGCCCCTCCTGCTTCTTGCCTTCTTGATCATATTTGCTCAAAGCAAGAGGAACCATCAGCTTCTCACAAAGAAGAAGAAAAGAGGAAAGCAGAACAGGAGAAGATAGATCAATGGAAGGCCCTGGAACTGTCATGTGTCAGGTCCAGAGATCTTTTTAAGGAGGTTGGTGCTTGTCTCAGGACAGGAACTCACAACTCTGCTTGGCAGATTTTCCTGCAGGATGCATCTTGGGTCAGCCTCCATAAACACTATCATAATGCCATCCACTCCACCAACCCTCTCCCTGCGTCTCCCTTTGTCCCTGTCCCTCTTGATCAGCTTCAGTTCTACCTTGGAGGCCAGACTCCTGTCCCTGCCGACCATGTCCTATACCAACATGCCTGCTTTCAATGCCATTACCTGGGACATTGGTTGTGCTGCAATGGATGTGGCTCCCATTTTACTCTGGCCCTCGATGAACCAGTGTCTCCATTGCCTCCATTGCCCATCGCCCACCACACACATTCCCACATCTATACTACTTGCAGACCCCTATCCTCTTGTTCCCTGAACATGCCTGGCCCATCCTCAAGGGTCTGAGGACCTTAGCAGGGGGGTGATGTTATGCCTCTGTCAGGGGTCTTTCCTTTTTTGACTTCTTGTGGTCATGTGCATCACATGCCTAGTCGTGTCTCTCATAATCATCACCATCCTGGGGGATCATATGTTGGAAGGCTCCTTTGGATCACCTGCTGTCAAGGTATTTCCAATACCTGTCAATGTCACACTGCCCATGTGATCTGGTGTTCCACTGCCCTCTCTGATGGACAACATGTTCCTTCCTTGTTCTGATGACTCATTTTAATTGCTCATATGTTGTACTATAGTTCTGGTGTCTGGCTCCTTGCTGCGCATTGATTGTGCAGCCAGTATAGCCTTCATTTCCTGACTACCCCCATCATCTGACACTGTATGACTCGTTTCCCCTTATCTATTTGTCTGATTGTTCTGTTGATTACTGCAGATATGCATTGCAACTGGTACAGAACTTGTACTTAGAGGTATATAAACCCACATACTTTACCTTGTATCCTCAGTTTTTTGATAGCTTGCAACTCAGCTAACTTCCTTCTCTTTCGTCCTTGTTCTCTCTCCATGTGACTACCCCAGAGGATCACCAGAAGACAGAACCTATGTTGGACCTCAGAGATAACTGAGCCATAGGGGTTACAACACATTTGGCCTGTAGACTCCCCTCATTTGCTTTGTGACTATTCCATTTGAAGAAGTCACCATGCTCAGGCATAACAGTTGCTGAGCAGGGATTTGATGCTTTCACACAAATCCCCAGTCAATGCATGAAATTTTGCCACCAGAGTCAACCAGTGCAGTGGTGTTGATGACTTCTCCAGTTCTTTCTGATGCATAGACTGTAACAGGAATTTGCATAGTATGATCTGGGGTAGAGGATACTAGTATGGGTGCAACAGAAAGAGAACTGTCCTTAGTGTTGGGAACATCTGGCATCAATGCAGAGTTCCCTTCCAAAAATCCTTTCCTAATGCCCTAGCAATATTGACTAAGATGATGGAGGGGCCAGCGACTTTTTCTTCATTATCACTTTCTTCAACTTCAACAATCTTTCAGGTCTTTTTGACCTTCTTCTGGGGGGTCTTTCCTTTGTCAGGACATTCTTGGGAGAGATGTCCTTTATTTCCACAGTTGAAACATCTTCCTTCTTTGATGTGATGGTCCCATTCTTTGGAGAGTTTCACTCCATCCACATCCATAGCATTTGGATCTTTTTCTTCCAAGAGGTTATTCTTTGGGTAGAATGTCTTCTTTTCTTTCTTTCCAGAAAGTTCATTCACCTTTCTCCACTTTGTGTCAAACTTCTGTGCCTGGGTATACCACTCAGTAATCTTGGTGGGAGTGGTTTCCATCATGTGAATACAGTTGGTGATGAAGGGTTTGAGTCCTTGTGAGAAGAACTCAATCAAGGCAATGTCTTCTGTGATGGTAGAGTCAGCAGTGGCAGTTCAGAAGTCAGTGATATATTGTTCCACCAAGTCTTTCTGTCTCATGGTACATAGCTTGGTGATAGCAGTACCAGCAGTGTCAGGGGAGGTGAAAGAATCTTTAAATTCTTTCTTGAAATCAGCAAAGGAGTCAAAGCTCAGGGGATTCTTTTCCAGAGAGGTTTTCTGGAAGGTTGCTGCCCAGGAGTGAGCAACCCCTTTCTTCATGTACAACAATGCATAGACAACTTTTTTGGTGTCAGTGTCATAGACTTCTTCATTTACCATGAGGTATCTTCTGGACTGAATACAGACAACTCATTGCATTCTTTTGGTTGCTGTCAAAATCAGATGGGGCACCAATCTTCAATTTGGTGGCTTTGACAGCAGTAGTGCCTGTTGTTGCCTTTGACAATGAACCAGACATCATGGGTGGGGGTTGGGGGTTTAGGAAATGTGGTAGGGGGAGGTACTGGTGGGATGGGAGTACTGAGCATGGCAAGAGATTGATTAAAGAGATTTGAGAGGATACCTGAGGTGAATCCCCTATCCAGTTATTCTGGTTCATTGGAGGAGGTGTCAGTGGCAGTGCTCTCTTGTTCTTCATTGGATGATGATTCTTCTTGTGTGGGTTGCAGCAGTGCCCAACATCAGTTGTTTCAGGGGTTCATGGTGGTGCACTAAACAGTGACCAATTCAGCCAAAGGCAGTCAGACTTGAGCTTTTGTTATGCGAAGACTGAAGTCAAGGTGCAAGGGGAGCTCAGCCACAGACTGAGGGTTTCTACTGAGCAGCAGCTGCAGTAACCTTTGTAAATGACAAAGGGTTTGGTTAATGCTGGTAAGAGTAGTCCTTGTAAGGGACACTGAGGGCAAAGTTCTGAGAATGCTGTGTATGGTTGAGCAGCTCAAGTCTGGGGTTCCAGGACTTGAGCTGGCAGGCTAAATACTACAAGGGGATGGACCATGAGGCATCTGCATGTAATGAGGTAACTATGCTATTGGTTGAATAATAGCAACATGTCTGAAGCATGTAATGAGAGGGAAATGCCAGTGGTGGAAATAGTGAGCCATCAGATCAGAGAGAAGACAACTCTAAAAGGAATAGTAGTCCAATGGTTCAGACACAAGGTAAAACATACAGTGAGACAGGAGAAAACAAGGTGAAACATAACAAAGTGTTTGCACCTTGTTTTCCATAGGCAATGCCCCTGTACTGTATATAAATCATTGTACTTAGATAGCTGAAAAAGAAGAAGACATCAGAGAGCCCCTCTTGCTTGCAATTCATCATCTCTCAGTAATTCATTCAGCAGCTTCAATAGTTGAGACTTTATTAAGGGTCTAACTATTGTCTACTTTGCTTATCATTGTCTATTATCAACATACTTTGCTCCAAGTCCTCCCTGAGCTCAGTGCAGCTCAGAGCATCAAATTAAGTCATCATCCATCCTTCTGTAGGCTGACAGCAGTCTACCCTATTGCTTCCTCTCACATTCCTGCTCCTTCTTTGTCAGGAGCACCCCCAACCCTCAGCACTCATCTTCAAGTGTTGTAGCTTGCAAAAACACTCCCAAATCAAAGGTTCTACCATCCAGGTACTGCATAGGCACACCACCACTTGCTTTCATTGTCTTTTGTGTTGGTTTTAGTTGGTTTCCACCACTGAACCACACTTTGACTCACACTGGCATGCCCATTCCCCAGATCTCCTCATTTATTTGATTGAACCAGACAGAGCAGATATTGACTCTCTTTGCTACAAGCTACCAAACATTGTTCAGGGAAGTCCACAACATAGGCAGCAAGTATTTGATGGATTTGATTCAGACAACCATTGGTGCAGATCATGACCTCACCATTATGACCAGTGTCACCTAGAGGTTGAAGGAGCAGCAACATGGCATGATGGAAGAAGCAATATCCTGCCAGCAATCAGGTCTTTTTCTCAAAGCACTCAAGTTTGGAGATGGGTAAGTAGCCTATCAATGTTGTCACATGTGCAGAGACTTGTCATCTGACATCCTTTGATATGTTTCCTATTGTCAGGTACATGGGCCATGCTTTCTTATCCCCACTGAACATTGACAGGGAGGTCTTGTCTGATGACAAGATGACAGGTGTGACTGTAGTGCTGGCAGGCAATTTTCCCTGTACAATGGAAGTCTTGTCATCACTAAGGCTCATAGTGCCAGTCAGATGCAAGGTTTGGTGTGTACTCTAACTGACCATCATCAAGCTGATGGTCTTTGTCAACAGATGCAGTGCTTGCTGTGCAGTCCAGGACTTGCTTCCATTGCTGCTGGCAGGCAGCCAACTGGGAAATGTGCTGCTTGATGCCCACAAGAGTGGAAATGGTTTTCAAGCAGTGGTCACAGTGGTGGGTGTGCATGGTGAGGTACACCATTTCATCTCATCTGGCTGAGGTTACCTGCTAACAGTCTGACAGCTACTATAACTCTGACATGTCTCAATATCAATGATCCATCAGACAAGCTGATCATTGGGCAGCAAGTGCCATGAGATATAAATATCACCTGCAATCATCCTATCATCCTTGTGCTGACACACTTGCATTTTCTTCATTGATCCCACCAAACAACACCATACCCACATGCTGGATATAAGGAGTGAGTATGGAACAAGTGGTACCTGCATAATCATTGTTCACACTCTTGAATTTCAGCTACTTGCACATGCAATGCAACCCTCTGCCAAAAGCCAGCATGTGCATGACAAAGAGAACCATGATGGTAAGTTATCTTAATTTTTAAATCAGTGAGGTTGGTGCTAATCACACAGGATAGAACCCTCTCATGGGTGGATCTGCTGTGCATCAGAAAAACAGCAGCAGGACACCAAAGCCTGAAAGGAGCATGCATGTGAGTGCCTCTGTCAATTGGCCAACATTGGAAGTGAGAATGAAGGTGAAGGGGATGCAGATAATGACAAGGAGGGCATGTTCAATGCTGACAAAGATGATGACAATGCCAGTGACACTCAGGCACAACAGTATTTTCTGGTTGTGTTCATGCCTGTTTGACTCACTGTGTTTTAGTTTGCCAGCTGCATTGTGGCTACTAAACTTAGTGGTGCAAGCAAGCAACCACTGACATTTCATAACAACAAAGTAGCAAGGACCCCCTGTATATCAGCTACAGCCATAGAGGCTCTTGAAGTAAGTCAAACTCTGTTGCTTTTGCATCATGTCCCCTAACACCTGCCACAGGCCCTGATGGCTTCAGATGGTGACATAGATGATGAACACCACACCATCACTTCCATTGCATTGATGATCTGAAGGGGAGACTGTGAAGCTGAAGAAGACAAGGGATAAGCACAGTGCAGAGACTGTTACATGTGAGCCCAAGACTGTGGAGAATGCTATTGAACAGTAAGTCTATTGTCTACTGCATGGTATCATGCTTACATGCATTGGCCATTGGAGTGCAGGGCCAAAGAGGCAACATGAGATAGGTGTTGAAGATGTCAACCTGACAACTGTGAAAGCCCAAAAGCTCACTGATCATGAAGGTCACCCCTGTGCCAAGGACTATGATGATGTGACCCAAGAATTCATGACTGCAGCAATTGGAGACTATTGTGCATGCCTATGTGCCCAATCCCCTATACCCAACCATGGCAAAGAGACCATGCTGTTGGCAGCCTCTTGGATGAGGGTATGTCAAGTGACTGGGGTGAAACTTGCTCAGGCCCCCAACTTATCTAAACTCATAAGTGGCCTCCTATGACTGGACAAGTGGGATAGTCACTAGTCACCACTGATATACTATTGATCACCAGCTGCAGTTTGCAAGTCCATGGTGAGCTCAAGATGAAGCTTTGCCCACTGGTTGAGGCCATGTTTGGCTTCCACAGTAGCCAAAGCAAGTCAGAAGAACTGGGCTTTAGCAGAGTCACTCAAAGAGGGTACAAATTTTGCATTCAAGGCAAGTAGTTTTTTATACATTGTTAAGATAATTGTTGTGACATGTGGCTGCATACTTGTTAGTACATGCTGCCAACAGAAGAGAATTGAAATGGGTTTCTGAAAGCACCACTCATTTCAAAAAATCATCAACACAATGTGGTTCACAAACAAACACAATGAGGGTGTCAAGTTCCCTGAACATTTCAAGCCATTCCTGAACCTGGCACTGGTGCTTATCCTCACAGTGGTATGTCACCCCTTGTGACATGTTGTATTAAGACTGACCAGTGTGAGTCAAAGTGTGGAAAGGTGGTAAAAACCAACCAAAACCAACACCAAAGACAAATAAGAGCAAGTGGTGGTTTACCTCTGTGGAACCTGGAGTGCAGAGAAATCTAACATGGCAGGGGGTTGTGATAGCAGGTGCTCCTAGTGCAAGTCATTGACAAGTTATGCAGAAGCAGACAAGTGAGTGATGACTGGATGAGGGATGCTGAACAGGGTGAAGGTGTTCAGCTGAAAGTATTCTGGAGTAATAGACTTTGATAAAACATGCTCCAAGCACATGTCCTTGACTTTCTTTGGGACTGGCCACTCTGCAATGCCTTGGACTTTGACAGGGTCCATGGTGACAGTGTTTTCTTTAATGATCATACCAAGATACTCCACCTTGGTAAGATCACAATGACATTTTTCAAGCTTGAGGGGTAGTGATAGCTCCCTCATTCATTCAAGAACACAACAGGTTCTTTGTTTGTGTTCTTCAGCATTGGTGGAGAAGATGAGAAGGTCACCCATATAGACAACCAACCATCCTTCAGTGATCATGTCTTGAAATGAGTCATTCATGAATTGCTGGAATGTGGCTGGGGAGTTGCACAGTCTGAAGAACATTATGGTGGGTTCAAAGAGTCCTTTGTGTGTGATGAACACTGCCTTCCATTGGCATAGCAGGCAAGTGCCCTGGGGAACTGCTTCCAAATTGAGCTGGGAATTTGCTATGGACATAAAAATTGAGTGGTGATTTAAGAGATCTAAAGTGTAGAGAGAATATGATGATAGGTCAATGACTTGGTGGCTTTTTCTAACAAAAAGTATGAGAGATTCAGGCTGTAATTAAGGGGATTCTCTAAGACACAACAAATTTCTCAAATAGCAGTTGTGATGCCCTTTGCCCTGCCACAGGATGAGTACTTCATGTTTCAAGCACATAATAAGTGCCCCTGCTCATCTTGGATTGATGAAGTTCCTCTCAAGATATGGCTCATCTGATTCATTGCTTTGTTTCTATGTTTCAAGTGTATCTTTTCTGGTCTAAGGTAGGCCTAATGCATCACACATATTCCTGCAGTACTAGATCTGAAATTCCTTTCACAAATGTGGCACATCTGCATTGTATTCAGGACACCTTGTTCTCTGTCCACCATGGTCACACATTTACAAGGCTATTTTCTAACTTGCACTTAGGGCTTCTCTTCAGTGTGCCTGCAGCACGATCAGCTCAGTAGCTGATTTGCTTCTCTCTAGTAGTCTGACCTCATGATACTTTTTGAGGACAATGGCAACCTACTATCAGTACCAGATCCCAGTCTTGGTGTGTGACTCACATGACTTGGTGATGGCAGTAGCAATTTTACTTAAGGTAAACCCAACCTTTGTCCTCTTGATCTATCCTAGATCTAAGCTATGTCAGATGGTTGCTGAAACTAATTCTACTGCTCCACAGGTGGCACAGACCACTCATGATGCTGACAAAACAGCAGTGATGTCACAATGACCCTTCTTGATACTCTCAATGGCATAATGTTTGGGGATCCATAGGTTTGGAGCTCTGTCTGACAATGATGTAACAATGGAAATTGACTGAGAGATTCAGTCTCATAACAATATCAATACAGTATCTTTCTCTGCCTGAACATCCTCCTCATGAGTACAGTCACAAGAAGAAATTCCAGTATCAGACCATTTTCAAACTCCTGTATCCTCATGAGAACCAACACCAGTCATCCAAAGACCACAACTTTCCTCTGATGATGGTGTTGTTGAGCATGAAAAATGGTCAAGGGCCCAAACATGACAGAACAAAGGTCAGAGGAATTTTTGAATTGTCTCATTTATGTCTTGTCAGCTAAGCCATCAACCCTTGATCTTATCACAGCACATGGGGCACAAGAATGCCTTGTACCACATCCTTTATTGCTAATATTAAAAGGTTCACCTACCTCAAGGTTTCATTCTCCAATGCCTCTCCTCCCCACAGCAAGCAAGATGCTCCAACAAGTTACATTCAAGATTATGCTGCAAAATGAGAATGGTGATACTACTGCAGTAAGTTAGGTTCTCATTCACTTACCTCTTTCTGAAGCTAATAGCACATAGGACTCACCTGTTTGATGGGCAGTTGCATCTCTCACATTCTTTGTCTCTTGGTGCATGTACATGTACCTGCCTTCTTGCACAGCACCAAAAATTGATTGATACAAGTCCACAGGTGGGCTCCTTTAGTCCACTGATGTTGATATACTCATTGATGCAATAATTGACTGTGACACCTGATTGTACCAAAGAGTTAAAAAGTCTACAGGTCACATATAGCTCATGAAACATCAACACATGACACCCCCAGAAGTGGTGCACACTCCATACATAGAATACTGCAATGCTGGTATGTGCTAGGTATCATTGATTTTTATACTGATACAGTATCCTCTACAGATGCTGGCTCTGAACTCCTGTATCTCAAGCAAGGATCTCAGAGGTCCTTGGACTAGAACTGCATTTCTTACTGGGGCTTTCTTGAGTGCAATTGGCAAGTGTATGGTTGGTACTGTCCCCAATAGTATTTGGTTGCAGGGAAATGAATAGCTACTGCAATACAACATAAGTCTACATATGTAGAAGCCCACAATCTCAGTCAGGTTCCCAAGCTACTTGTATTGAAACAATGTTCATGTGAATGTTAGTTCTATACTCCACAAGTCACTGGCAGCCTACAAGTGATGAATATACAGTGAGGGACAAAAGCATTGCAATGTTTGTGAGGTGTGACTTGCTGCTGATGTAGCTTGGGATATTCTGTACAGATAATAATGATACCTATACCATTGGAAAGGGGTGACTCTAAGCTTTTGTCCCTGACTGGTGAAATAGTGAAAAGTGACCTTTTGATGGGATTAAGGGCATGAAGGATGGGAAAATATGATTACATAATAAACCACATGATCTTCCAGATGATTTGTCAGCATGCAAACAATGACAAACATTGGACTTGTACCATTAACCCTCCCTCTTTTACCACAACTCATGAAATCATCTCTCTAGCTCACATGGTCATTTTCTCAAGGAATTCTTATCAAATACTGGTGGCCACCACAGTACCATTAGTATAACATGCTCTCAGAACCATCAGTCCCTTAAAAGACCTGTTGTCAGTCATTCCCTGGACTGTTTCCCTCCCCATGCCTGATGTGTTCTGGGACTAATCAGTACTTGGAAGGCTGAGAATGTTATGGAGGTCAATCTGGCACTTCAGAACATGATGGACAAACCAGTCCCCTCTCAACCAATGCATTTCTGGCACAGGGACAGTGGTATGGAAGTTAGGGCAAGACAAAATCCTCTTTACCCCTGGGTGTCATCAGAAGGATATGCTACTGAACTACCATGGAGCAGATTCCTGTGCTTCCATCTGGCCCTGAATATTGCCTTTTGGTCACATATGACCAAATAATCCTTCCCCAGTCATCTACAGTTCAGATCAGAAGCAAGATCTAGTGAACCCTCTTATGGTGCTCAGAGCACAAGGAGGTTTTGTCTCACCCCAACTTTCATACCACTGTCCCTGTGCCAGAAATGCATTGGTTGAGAGGGGACTGGTTTGTCCATCATGTTCTGAAGTGCCAGATTGACCTCCATAACATTCTCAGCCTTCCAAGTACTGATTAGTCCCAGAACACATCAGGCATGGGGGGGAAACAGTCCAGGGAATGACTGACAGCAGGTTTTGTAAGGGACTGATGGTTCTGAGAGCATGTTATACTGATGGTGCTCATCAGTACATCACTTTTGCTGGCCAGAGCTGTCCAGAGCTGTCCAGCACTGGACAGATTCCCTAGGACTGCCAGCACACAAAGTGGTTTACTGATGCTGTGGTGGCCACCAGTATTTGATAAGAATTCCTTGAGAACATGACCATGTGAGCTAGAGAGATGATTTCATGAGTTGTGATAAAAGAGGGAGGTGTTACATTTTACCCTTTTTCCTCTTGTTCACTGTGCTCTTGCCTTGTGTTTGATCTGTTGGACTACTTTTCCTTTCTGAGCTGTCTTCTCTCTGATCCAACAGCTCACTATTTCCACCACTAGCATTACTGGCTCATTACATGCTTAGGACATGTGTTGCTATTGTTCAACCAATAGCATGATTACCTCGTTACATGCAGACACCTCATGGTCCATTTCCTTTGTAGTATTTAGCCTGCTGGCTCAAGTCTTGGAACCCCAGACTTGAGCTGCTCAATTATATGCAGCATTCTCAGAACTTTTCCCTCAGTGTCCCTTACCCAGACCATTCTTGACTAAATCCTTCATCACTTATGAAGGTTACTGCAGCCATTGCTCAGTAGAAACCCTCAGTCTGTGGCTGAGCTCCCTTATGCCTTCAACTTCAGTCTTAGTGTAACAAAAGCTCAAGTCTAACAGCCTTTGGCCAAATCAGTCACTGTTTAGTGCACCACCACAAACCCCAAAACAACTGACATTGGGCACCATTGTGACCCACTTGAGTAGAATTGTCTTCAGATGAGGAACAGGAGAGCACTGACACTGACACCTCCTCCAATGAACCTGAACAACTGGATAGAGGATTTACTTCTGGTATCCTCTTGAACCTCTTTAATCAGTCTCTAGCCATGCTCAGTACCCCCATCTCACCAGTACCTTCCCCTCTCACACTTCCTAGACCCCTGACTCTGCCCACAATGTCTGGTTCATTGTCAAAGGCAATGACTGGCACTACTGCCATCAAAG